AAACAAATCAATACCTGGAGCACACTGGCAACGAACAGTCTGACCTGTTACAGGAACTAGCTCAGGTGTTAGTTCTCTGCTCTTGAGTATGTTCAGCTGATTTCTTCATCTCATGCAGTAATGATTTTTCTCTTTTATTTTCTAGTTAATCCCTCTTTTTGTCCAAATGAAGTATTCCCTAGATAACCTTTGGATCAAAAGAGCCTTACCTGTGGTCGTTCTTGGTGAGCAGGAGGGGCTGGGGGCGCACAGTCTGAGGCTTGTGTTTCAGGTCTTTGAGCCTTCCTCCATCTTCAGAGAAACCCGGTCCCTTGGCCACATTGTGACTGATGACAGCTGCTGTTTATAGCCTGCCAGGGTCCCCAGGCCCAAGTTAGGTCTTTGGTATGAGAGGCGACACGTTCTCTGTAGATACCCCTTTAATTGCCAAAGGATGAACACAAGCCTGGAAACACAAATTATATTTTAAAGTCTATCTGTACAAACCCAGTACGTACAATATTTCACTTAATCCTGACAACAGTTCATAGGTAAGAAATATTTTTATTCCCATTTCCAGATGAGACTGTGTCACAGAGAGGTTAAGTAACTTGGGTAGGGTCACACAGTGAGCAAGTGTTAGGTAGTGTAGGGATCCCTCCCTGCTAGTCAGACTGCAGAGGGAGTGACAGAGATATTCGCTGAGTATTTTGAGTTAGCCAGCCTGCAAGTTCACTGGTTCATGCTCTGAATTGGGCCTTGGGAATCACAGCAGTTTGAAAGTTGGCAGAATGATGTCAGTGGTGAAATTGGGGAAATTATGTTACAGAAACGTGGTCAAACCAGGTGAAGCAAAGACGCAGCATATTTCAAGGATCCCATAATTTCTCCTGGAATCCTGTCAGGGAGTTGGGCTGACCCTCAGGGGTGTAGGTACCCGGTGCTGGGCTGTAGTCAGGATCCAAGATTGAGTAGCCAGATCTTACCTCCATAGCCTGTGGCAGGTGATGACCCGAGGGTCAGGAGAAGGGCAGCCGTCAGCAAAAGAGGCTTAAAGTGGACAAACACCTGGAATGATGTTTCTCCGCTGGACTGAAGCTCATCCCTGCATTGCATGTTCTGTTCTTTACATCAACAGCCCAAGTTAGTGGAATGAATGTTTTTGCATCCCGAAGTTTTGAGCCTGTCCGCGGGATCAAGGTCATGGACAAGGAAGGCAATGTTGTAGGCCATTCCAGAAGAGCTGCACAAAAGGTAGGGGACACAATGGAACTGGAGCTTTGGGGAAAGAATTGGATTTTCTGTTTGAGAGCTGGTGACAAATTCATGTCTACCTTTCTTTACCCTGTCTTCCCTCGTCATGCGGAGAGAGATTCTGCCCCCTGATGTTTAAAAGATGGTGAATTATTCTGGGTTCTCCTGAGAAACAGAATCAATAGAGTGTATGTACATATCTATTAAAAGATTTATTTTAATGAGTTGGCTGACATGATTGTGGGGCTGGTAAGTTGGGAATCTGCAGGGCAGGCCAGCAGGTGCTGAGGCAGGAGCTGGTGCTGCAGTATTGAGGCAGAATTTCTTCTTTGGGAAACCTCAGTTTTTGCTTTTAAGGCTTTCCAACTGAATGAGTCCAACTGAATTGAGTCCCACCCATGTGATGGAGGGTCATCTCCTTTACTTATTTTTTTGTCTTTTTTTTTTTTTTTTTTTGTGACCGGTAAGGGGATCACAACCCTTGGCGTGGTGTCACCTGCACCGCGCTCAACCAGTGAGCGCACCGGCCATTCCTATATAGGATCCGAACCTGCGGCGGGAGCGTCACTGCACTCCCAGCGCCGCACTCTCCCGAGTGCGCCACGGGGCCGGCCCCATCTCCTTTACTTAAAATCAACTGATTGTATAGATGTTAGCCACATCCCACAGCAAAACCCCTGCATCAACACCTGGATGAGTACTTGTTTAAATAACCAAGTACAGTCTGGCTGGTTAGCTCAGTTGGTTAAGTGCAGTGTTATAAATAACCAGATACCGTCACCAAGTTGACCCATGAGATTGATCGTCACAGATGGGCACTGACAAGTCTGGGCTCCTCTCTGAGTGTGAGATCTTGTTATTCAAGTTCAATATCCACCCACCCCATAGATGCTGATTGGGGATCCCTCTTGGAGGCCATTCCCCCTCCCCCAGCCTGCTTTGCACTCACAGGGTCAGCGGACACCCCTCCCTGGGTTTAAGAGAAACCCTCCCTCTTTCACCTCACAGTAGATTTTCTTACAGTCTTCATCATTGAGGACCAATTTTTGTCAAGGGTGGTATTGGGAAATCCAATGCTCTCATTTAAAACATTTATAAAAAGCCTCATTTTTTTTTTTTAAAAGATGACCGGTAAGGGGATCTTAATCCTTGACTTGGTGTTGTCAGCACCACGCTCAGCCAGTGAGCCAACCGGCCATCCCTATACGGGATCCGAACCCGTGGCCTTGGTGTTAACAGCACCGCACTCTCCCGAGTGAGCCACAGGCCGGCCCAAAAGCCTCAATTTTTTAATACATTTAACTGTTAACTTGTTTATTCTTTTGCTCAATTCAACACAGTGGCTTCTGGGTGCATTCAACTGTAAGTACCTGGAATAGTCTGTGGTAGTTTCATTCTGGGTGTGGACTTACTTTTTAAATAATACATTTTTTAGCAGGTGAGGTCTTTTTTTGGTCTCTGTGAAATGACTAGCTGAAGGATTACTACGTGAGGCGGGAAGAACAGCGTGGGACAGCCCCTAATACCAAGTGAAGGGAGGAACCTGGCCTCTCCCATTCAGGGAGACCCCCTTAGCCAGCCAGGCATCCTTCTACTGCCCAGCGTGTCGGTGGAAGAGGAGGTCACAATAGATGACTGCTCATTTGATCTGTAAATACCTCATTACGGCTCGTGAAACCTATTACTGTAAATCCTATCAATGATTGATAGCTGAATTATAGACCATCTACTAGTGTGGCCTCTTCTAAATGAATTAAAACAGGGACACAATAATTATATGTAACAAAGGGATAAATTGCTGCCAGAAAGAAAATATGTCTACAGTTGGAAATGAAGGTTCTGTGCCTTAGAAACCACCCTAAAAACACATTTTTTAAACAGCTTTATTGAGGTGTAATTTATATACTGTAAAATTCACCCATTGTAAGAGTACAGTTTGAATTTTTCAGTTTACTTTTTTATTGTTTTTTTTGACAGCACACTCAAATTTTGGTCAATTTAAACAGTTGTGCAACCATCACCATAGTCCAATTTTATTTATTTATTTTATTTTATTTATCTTTTTTTAAAACTGACCGGTAAGAGGATCTCAACCCTTGACTTGGTGTTGTCAGCACCACATTCTCCCAAGTGAGCCACGGGCCGGCCCTCACAGTCCAATTCTAGAACATTTTCATAACCCTAAAATCTTCCCTTCTGCCCATCTACAGTCACTCCCCTCTCCCACCCCAGTCCCAGGGAAACATTGATCTGCATTATATCTTCCTCGTGTTGCCTTTCTAGAAATTTCATGTAAATGAATCACACAATAGTTCTTTGTGTCTGGCTTCTTTCACTTTTGAGTTTCATTCATCTCATCCTGTGAGTCAGTTGTTCGTTCCTCTTTTTTGCTGAGTGCATTTCATTGTATGGGTGCACTACATCCTGCTTACCCATCGCCAGGCGATGGACATTTGGGTTGTGTCAAGCTTTTGCTATTATGAATAATGCTGCTCTGAACACTGACTTGCAGCTCTGTGTGGACACGTGTTTGCATTTCTCTTCAACTCTATTTTTGTTTTTTGTTTTTTTTTTATGGCTGACTGGTACAGGGATCCAAACCCTGGACCTTGGTGTTACCACACCATGTTCTAACCAACTGAGCTACCAGCCCAGACTGAATCAATCTTAAATTCATGATGTTAGTATTGCTGTGACCTCTTCAAAAGCTCAAGAGTGGAGAACAAATGTTTAATCAACATGTTGCCCCAACACCTCTGGCTTGCCAGGCACTGTGCTGGTCCCTGAGGACCCAAACCGTCGTGGTTCAGCGTCCCTTCTTGCTGGGACGCCCAGCCTCCCAGTGGGCAGGCAGCCTCAGGCCCGCCGCTGTCTACCATCCATCTCACCAGGAGGAGCTTCATTTTTCCGCATGAGGGCCAATTTAGGGTAAAAGAAAAGGTTTGATGGTCTGCTTAAAAAAGTAAAAGAAAAAGTTTATCTTTCTCTTAAGAATTAAGTGTCTGCAACTGTGAGTAAGCATAAGCGTTCTTTTATCATTTCCCTGTCACCAAAAAGTTTATTTTCTTTGGCTAAAATTTCAGAAACTGCGTAATCAGAAGTATCTGATTGTAACAGGACACCTTTGATCAGATTACCGAGACTAGTTGAGGTTGTTTTCCCGCAACTGGCCTCATAAGCCTCACAAACAGCCCCCCTGAGCACGGTGTCTTGTTTGGAAAGCTGTTTGGAAAGCGTTTCCTCTTATAAGTGAGAGAAATGGAGAGAGGCAGGCGGGCCTCACCCCACTGGCGTGGAAACACGCTATGCTCAGTAGCCACTTTTCCCTTTCTAATGTTGAATGACTTTACCTCATAATCCTAAAACATTCCTTTCTTTCATTTTTTTGGTGACTGGCTAATCGGGGATCCGATTTGCATTATCAATACTGTACTCTAACTGAGCTAACTGGCCAGCCCCCTAAAACCTTATTTCAAAAATGACCCTCCTCCAGGGCTGGCCCTGTGGCCACTCGGGGGAGTGCGGCGCTTGGGTGTGCAGCGGCGCTCCCGCCGTGGGTTCGGATCCTATATAGGGATGGCCGGTGCTCACTGGCTGAGCGCGGTGCAGGTGACACCAAGCCAAGGGTTGCGATCCCCTTACCGATCACAAAAAAAAGACAAAAAAAATAAAAATAAAAAAGACCCTCCTGGGCTCCCTCTGTCTCGTGGGGGGAAAGGTGTTCCCTGCAGAGGGACAGCACGAGCTGAGCATGAGTGTGTCATCCCATCTATAGTCTACCAGGCAGAGGTGTGTGCAGAGAGCTGGGGCACCGGGCAGCCAGGGAAGGCAGATTGTAGCCAAGTCATGGGAAGCTGCACGTGGAAGGAAGGGAGTTCAGAGCAGGACCGGGGTGGGGGTGTCTGTTCAAGTTGAGCACACAAGCATGCTGGTAATAGAGCTGTGTCTTACCTAGGGGCTGGGACATTTTATAGTCAGAAGTACCCATAAAAGTCCTTTAAATTGCCCTTGAGGATACATGGTTTTGTGCATGTAACCCATACGGAATATTATATGTTTAAATGTTTAATATGTGGAGTAATGTACAGTATAGAAAAGATAACAGAATGTCATAAACTGTAAATACGTATTTGTGTAAAATAAAATGTCATAGCACAACACTTTCAATTACACAGTGAAGGATGGGGGTGGATGGGTGGATATGAGGATGTTCCTCCACTGGTAGGATGGAAATCCCTGGGGAGCACTTTGGGAAAAGAGGCCCATGGCAGAGTCCTGGGTTGAAGGGAAAACATGGAGTAAACCTCAGTGGTAAATTCAGTGTTTTCACCAAGTGGCTGCCGCTTGGCTCTGAGGATTTGTCTAGAAGCTGCCTTTGTTTTTATTTGGTGGGTGGTTTAGATGTGGTGGTTTGCTGGACTGTTGGGGTCAGGGGAGTAAGCCCCCTCCCCAGTTACTCCTGGCACCAGCCCCAGGCGCCCCTGTACACCTGCTCCTGGAGAGGTGCAGTGAGGTGTCGCCGTCACCTCTTTCCACAGGCGTTCTTTTTCTGAGTGAGAAAGGGGGGTGCTGTGTGCGTGTCTCCAGCACGAGTCGTGGGGTCCCTGGAAATCGTCTCACCCCACGTACTAAGCTGCTCCCTTTTCGTTTCACTAGGCTGTCAACGATACAGCAATATCCAGGGCAGTGCTGTTCGGGACCTCAGCCTTTATTCCTGAAGTCTTCACCTACTTTTTTAAAAGGTAAGAGGTACATGAATCTCCCCAGGTGGGAATGAACATTTTGACAATCAAAATTCTTATAAAACTGGTCAGGGCTGGCTGGTTAGCTCACTTGGTTAGAGTGTGATGCTGATCACATCAAGCTCAAGGGTTCGGATCCCCTTACTAGCCAGCCACCAAAACTAAAAACATGAAAAAATAAACCGGTCAGATACTGGACCTGGTAGAAGGAGTGGAAAGGACGTTGTTTGTGTGAAAGGACGTTGGTGACACCAACCTCAGAAGGCCGTGTGGGATCCAGTGAGCACATGCATGTGAAGGGCTGACACCGAGCCTGTGCCATACTGAGCACTGGGTCCCTGCAGCTGTTTCGATTGCCTCTTTGTGTGTTGCCTGGGAACCAAGATGTGGGCCTGTGCCACATGCAGGATGGAATTAGCCACTGTTGGAGA